TAATTCTAATATTGGAAGTCTGATTTTTTTTTTCTGCTTTGGAATAATTATGCTTACGCTATTTAATATGGTATATATACTTCTACCATGATTTAAGAAAAAGTTATAATAGTGAACTTTATTCTCATGAATTATCTACCCAGATCTTTGTGTGTATTGAAATGTTTTCAAAAGCTGTCTACTGCAGTATATCTGATTACACTATGGTACTAGTTCTAGGCTACTGTTGTTGGTGTTTTTTTTCTTTTCTTCCCACACTTGTCTGTGCACAAAACTTCAATCATCCTCTTTACATTCATTTGCTCAATGAGCCTTCTCCAGCCCTGACTTTTCTCTTGGGCTTCATTTCTACATTTCTGATTATCCACTGGACAAATGGAACTCAATGTTCTACCCCATATTTAGCACAAGCAAAAATGAATCTTCTTTTCACTTCTCCCAAATCAGTAACTTCTGACTCACCTCTTCCTCTCAATGGAGCTGTCATTCTCTTGGCTGCCTGGGCTCCATTGTTTTCTCTCTTCTCCCACATTTCATCATCACATCCTACTTTTTCTTCCTTTAACACAGCAATATCATGCCCTCATGACATTATGAATTCGGGGAAAGACTTGAGAATGTGAGTTCACTGAGATCTCTATGCCTTTTTTTTTTTTTTTTTTTACCTCTAATACAAGGTTAAAAATACATACCAGGATTGTTTTGAAGATTACATGATCTAATACACATAAGAACTTGACACCACATAAGTTCTGTGTTCTTCTCTTCCCTGCCTTCCATTTCCATTGCCAACATTATAGTGGTGTCCTTCACAATATCTCATCTAAATGACTGCACTAATTTCTAAACTGTGCTTTTAATCTTTCCTCCAAACACTTCCTAAAACACTATTTGGTTCACATTATGATCTCATCAAAAAGACTTTAATGATTTTAATTTTTAAAGCAGAGATATCTAAAATTAAGTTTACAGACTTCTTATTAAACTATAAACTCTTTCAGGAAGGACAAGGACTTCTGTGTATTTGTATTAGCTTTCCTTGAAGCACACGGCATGCACCAGAAGCTCAATGAATATTTCCTCCAAAAAATTATTAAAATGATGATCTCATCTAAAAGTATGTTAAGAATATGAGAACTATTTTTAGCATGTTAAGTTCTTCAAGGATACTTTTATTTATTTATTTATTTAATTTTTAAATTTATATCCAAGTTAGTTAGCATATAATGCAGTAATGATTTCAGTAGATTCCAGTGATTCATCCCCTTTGTATAACACCCAGTGCTCATCCCAACAAGTGTCTTCCTTAATGCCTCTTACCCATTTAGCCAATCCCCCGACCCACAATCCATCCAGCAACCCTCAGTTTGTTCTCTGTATTTAAGAGTCTCATGTTTTGTCCCCCTCCTTGTTTTTATATTATTTTTGCTACCCTTCCTTTATGTTCATCTGTTTTGTATCTGAAAGTCCTCATGAGTGAAGTCATATATTTGTCTTTCTCTGACTAATTTCACTTAGCATAATACCCTCTAGTTCCATCCATGTAGTTGCAAATGGCAAGATTTCATTCTTTATGACTGTTGAGTAATACTCCATTGTATATATATACCACATCTTCTTTATCCATTCATCCATCGATGGACATTTGGGCTCTTTCCATACTTTGGCTATTGATGATAGTACTGCTATAAACATTGGGGTACATGTGCCCCTTTGAAAGAGCACACCTGTATCCCTTCTTCAAGGACACTTAAATTTCAGTTCTGACCTTTATATGGTCTTTCTTTAATCATTTCAAATATTTGGTAGCAATTTTCTTGACTGTTTTAGGTGTAGGAGCAATGACTGATGGCTTCATCCCTCACTGTTTTTCTGTTTCTTGAAGAGATAAACACCTTGAAGGAGTTGTGTAACAGCTTCAGTCATCGCTCATGTTCACTGGAGGGCAGTGCTGTCAATAAGCAAGTTCTGGATTCATTTTATTTTGCATTGCATGTGTTAGTTATTAGTTGGAGTCAAAAGCTAATATGGAAAAAAATTTTTTTTCTTTAAAGACTGGAATATGTTTCAGGTATGCTGTACCACACTTACCCTAAAACAGTGATTCTCAAACTTCTATATGTATATGAATCACCATTGACCTGTGCCATCCAATAAAGTACCCACTAACCATATGGCAATGGGGTACTTGAAATGTGGACAGTCAAACCGAGATATGCTGTGACTGTAAAATACACACTGGATTGCAAGGACTGAGTACAAAAAAGGAATGGAAAATGTCTCAATAACTTGTGTTGATCAGATGTTGAAATGAAAATATTTTAGTTATATTGGGTTAAATAAAATGCATTAGAATTAATTATATCCAAATCTTTTTATTTTTTACAATGTGGCTACTATAATATTCAAAGTTACATATGCAATTCTCATTTGTGGTTCATGTTATATTCCTGTTGAACAGCATTGGCTCATATGGTTGTTTAAAAATGTTTCCTGGGTTGGGGTGCTTGGGTGGCTCAGTCAGTTGAGCATCCAACTCTTGATTTTGGCTCAGGTCATGATTCCAGGGACGGGATGGAGACCCTGCACTCAGCCCCACATCAAGCTCATGCTCCGCATGGAGACTGCTTAAGATTCTCCCTCTTCTCTCCCTCTCCCCCACTTGTCCGTGGTCTCTCTCATTAAAAAAAAAAAAGTTCCCTCGGTCCCATTTTTAGAGATTCTGCTTTGGTTGTTGCACATTAGGGCCCAAAAATCTGATATTTTTTAGCTCTCCAAGTAATTCAATTGATAAGTCATGGTAGGGAATTATTGTTTTGTACTGCTTTTGATGGTCTTCAACACAGCAGTGATTCAAAGATAACACGGAGAAATAGTTTTCAATTTTGATTGTGTAATAACTGCCATCCCATAAAGTAATATGCATGTTTTTCAATTAGCAAAACTCTTCAATATATCATCACAACATGACTGTTTTGTGGTAGTGGAAGGATGGTACAAACAATTAAGCAGTGTCTATCACAAACTTAAGTGCACATAACCTTTGACTCACCTTTAGAAATTGATCTTGCAGATCTTCCAACAAGATCCTTATAATATATCTGTAATTCGCTTCAGCACAATTTGAAATAGTGAAAAACCGGAAACTGAGGAAATAAATTATGATATATCCAACTGAATACTATGCAGGCTATAAACAAGAATAAGTTCATTTATAAGTACTGGTATGAAAAAATGTTTAGATTTATGAGGGGGCAAGAAAGTTGCAGAGAAGTATGCAGATCTTACCTGTACATATAAAATATTAAAAAATATGTATTTTTATTTGCATAGAAATATTTGTATATGCATATACAATTCAAAAGTTTCAAAAACTGTTAATAGTGGTTACTGCTAACAGTGAGGAGATTCCCAGTGATATGGAAAGGATCTTTTTGCTTTTTATATCCTTTTGTACTGTTTTAGTTTTTTTTACTATGACCAACATGTAAATTTACATTTACATTACAAAATACTGTTAAAATATCTATGTAATACCTAGCCAAGTAAATATTTCATCACTTAGGTTCCTGTTACAGAAATTTGATTTACACTATTATCCTTTAAGCTGCAATTTGGTCTTCATTTTAATTTTCTAAAAGGCCACCACATATATTCATTTATTCATTCAACCAATAGTTACAGACAACCTACTTTATGCTGGACAGAACACTGTTCTAAGGCCGAATAATACAAAGTGGACACAAAACCATGTATTCCTTAGACATGGGGAGGACAATAAACAAACCCAGACATAAATAATAATTAGTAATGAGTGCCATGAAGGCCTGAGTTTTCAAATGCCAGAATGTTCAAATGTCATGTGTGCTTGTGTGTGTATACACATGTATTCACTTACACATATTAATACAATCTTGGCTACTGAATTTTTTAAGAGTCGTTTGTATATAGTATTCTGGGATATTTCTCAAACTAAATTTTCTCTTGCATTCATTATAACGAACTCGGCCAAACAAATTAAAAATAGCAAAGCTTTTCAGTTGTGTCAATTTAGACAAATTACTTAGCTGCTTTAGGACTCAATTTTCTCCTCCACCAAACGGGGTATTTACCTCTCGGGTTGGCTGCGTCGGGGAGAACTCTAAGCGCAGACCACGTAACGCAACAGCAGCGCCTGGCACAATGAAGAACAGGGATGGGGTGGGGCGGGTAGGGCGCGGACGCCCGCACTGGGGCGCAACTGGGCCGCGCGCGGCGCGGCGGGCCGGCTGTCCCGCAGAGGCGCGGTATTCTCGCCATGGACCGCAGGAGAAAGGCGGTGCTTTCACATACTTTTTTCATCTAAGCACTTCTGCACGCCAATTTATCTTTCTGTGAGTGCGGAGACCAGTGCCCGCCAGCTCCTGCGGCGCCCGCTGGGCGTCAACTCCCGCCGCGCCGAGTCAGCCCGACTTTTCGAGATGCTCAAATGCTGAGGCCGTCCTGCGCTACAAAACTCAAGCCCACTCCCGGCCCCAAGCCGGCCAATCTGTTCAGGGCACATTTGGCCCGGGGCAGGCGGTAGACTCGCCTCCAACTGCGGCTGTTAGTTTGAATTCTGGCGCCACTCCCACGCCACGTAGAGCTATACTCGGAAGCGACGGATCTTCGAGCGCAGCGGGCGCGCACCGGGGACTGGGCGGGCGTGCAGCGGGCGGGCGACGCGCGCACCACGCCCCGGAAGCAGCCCCCGAAAGAAAAGAGCCGCCGCGCGCGCTCCCGCTCTCTCCCCTCAGGAAATGGCCACGCCCCCGTCATCTCCCGAGTCCAATAGAAGCGAGAGGGTGGGGCGGCCTCGGTCTGACTCAGGGGAGGCTATAAAGGGAACTGCTGGCAGCTCAGCTCGGTCTTTTACGACTGGATTTGGGAGGCGTTGTGTCGTTTTCGGTGAGTGGGCGCTGTGGGCGAGGACCCGCGCGGGCCGTATTGGAATAGACTGAGGTTCGCTGCAGTATTGTGGGAAGATTAGAGATTTGAGTTTAGAGTGCTGTGTGTAGAAAACTTGCACGTGGAAAACACGCAGCCGGGCCGCCACGTGTCCTGAGTGGTAGTGGTGGCGGCAGGCTTCGAGCTTAGGCGTGTGGAGGCTGGTGCTCATGGCCACGAGCGCTGTGCGCGGCCTGCTTGCTAAACGCCGACATCCGGCTGGCCAAGCCTGAGCGGCGGCGGGAAAACCATATTCCCGGTATTTGGGGCAGGGAGTTTTACGTTGAGCAAGAGGCCTTTAATAAGGAGAGTGTCGTTTTGTCGCGCATCAAAAGGTCATTTGAAAATGGGCAGCCCTGACGTTGCCTGAGATTGAGTTGTATTGTGCCCAGGTGGCGCTGTGTGCAAACCAGATTAGTGATTGGGAAGATTTTAGTACTGAAAACCTTCAACTGTCATTCTGTAAGAATGCTTAGTTTTAAATATTTTGGTCCCCTTCAGGAACAATGGCTCTCAGTGGCATAACGGAGCTGTTACCTGGAGATGTTCACGTAAGTACTGTTGAGCTTAGTTTTTAAACTGAAGAAGTAAACCTGTTGATTTACAGGAAAAGATGGTGCATCATTTGAAATTTGCTTCCTACTAGATACAAAGGAAAACTAGAAAATACGTGAGGGAATATTTCCTGGGAAATTATTTGGTTGGAACCTGACCATTTTACCCAGGTATGTGTTGGGCTAATAATTTGATTGTTGGGCTACTTTGATTCAGTGCGATTAGTCCATATGTAGATTAAAATGAAAATTTTTTTTGTCCTTGAACAGCATCCTGGGAGTTGATGAATACTAACAGACCTACAAATGTCACTGGCTAGCAATGTAATTTTTAAAGTAAGTTGTGTGACTTACAAGATCAACTGTAGTGTTTCTAATATAGTGCTTACCTCTTAAAGTTGCTTTGGCTTACGGTAAATTTCACCGTAACATAATTTAGTGGATTATGGTCTTATCAATGATGAAATCTATCCCGAAGCTGACCACCTGAAGAAAAACATACGGATTCGGCTTCTGAGATAAGACTGAAGTTTTTATAGTCTGGATTTTATAACTGAGAAGGTTCTGTTAGGTTATAAATCTTGTAGGGGGAGAACTGCTACTTCAAAATGTGTTGTGGGTTTTTTTTTTTCTCTGCCAACAGTGAGGGGTCGCTGTCTTTCCATTGAAAGAGGCCAGTTTGCTGTGACCTTCCTAAGATGTAACCCGTTTCTGTGAGTAGAGATTTTTTCCCTTAACAGTTCATCAGTACTTTGTCCTTGGTCTTAATCCATGATGATCTTATCCCGAACCTGAATATCTGTTGAGAAAACTTATACGGATCTGGCTTCTGAGATAGACCATTATAAGGACAATGATATTTTTAAAAATTCTTTGGCTTTTTTGATGTTGGTAGTCTTGTAAATCTCAAATGTTTTTCCTTTTCTAGGGTTAATACCACCAGATTTACTTGTGAAAAATCGATAAGGAAAAGCTCTTCATTTAGCTGACATGGGAAGAAAATCTACAAATCAAGACAATATTTTTTTATTTCTGTAAACAGGTTATGAAACCGCATCAGATTCAGATTAATGTATTTGTAAGATTTAAGCCATTACTTTTTATGTCATACTGCCCTAGAGAATCCTAACCTGTTAAGCAGATTACTTTGTAGATCTATTTCTATTTTAAATACAGGCATGCAAAGGAAGGTACATATTTTTAATGGAGAAGTCTTTGATTTCAGTTAACCAGACTTGTAATCAGCTTATTGTGAATGTTTCACCTTTGGCCACCTGTTTGAATTTAAAATCTACGATTGTAATTAAAGCTGAGTGAAAATTTACACTGAATATTGTAGAAAAGTCCTTAGATTTTTATGGAGAGATGATTCATTTTGGCAGTAACACACGGTACAGATCATGCTGGGTTTTGTAGCGTACTGAATATTACTGGATTAGTGGTGAGCAAAACAGAAAGACTGAGTCTATTACTGGGAGAGGGGAAAATACCAGGTATTACTGGTTCTAATTACTGAATTCTGGAATGTTTGGTCCTAATAAATTATAGTTTGAAAGGATGCTTAAGATGGAAAATGTGAGGGACACCTTGGTGGCTCAGTAAAACATCTCAGCTCCTCCATGCTGGGCATGAAACCTACTTTAAAAAAAAAAGATGGGAAAATGTGGAATGCTGAAAATGAAGAGCACAGCATGACAACGGGTCATGGGGGAAGTTCACTGATAAAACCAAACATTGCATAGAATGGATTTAGTGTAGACAGTAATAGCATCTGATCTAACCAAGATGGTTTGGCCCCATGCATGATCATTTTCCCTAAATAGCTACATGAATAAATTGTTGCTAAGCCTATACTTCAGTGTTAGTCAAAAGAATATTCTTGTCAGCTTATGATTATGAACTACCTTTTTTCCTAAAATGTTTTCTTAGTGAAAATGCAACGTTGGACCCATGTAGTTTAAGAGGCTCAGTGACAACCTTGCCATTTAGTGGGTAGGTACATAGTAGATTTGCTCACGTATTGCAATGGTATACAAAATGCACCTTGGAAAATGTATATTGAAGCCATATTAAAATAGGTATTAATGCTGTCAGACTTCAAATAATCTGGGTCTCCACACACTTATATGGTAGGTGCAAGGAATTCCACAGTGGCCATAAGTCATGAGAACGTGTAGAATGAACTACTGTAAGTCTGCAGGAAATAACCATGCTTTACATGGATTATTCATAGGAAGCAAGAGCTCCCTAAACTGAGACACCAAGGTGTGCTCCCCTTAATGCAAAGGCCTTAAGGCTTGCTAAAATCCAGCAAAGGGAAAAGCCACTTGGTATAACAGATTACATATGTAATGAGATTTTGCTATATTAACAAAAGAAAAGTGATTGGGGTCTGTACAGCCTTTTCAAGAAACTGTCTACCCTTTTTGACAAAGCTGGCACCTCACTTCAAAACAAGTTGTGAAATAGATAAAATTTGCTTTGAAGCACTCTGACCTCTTCCTGCAATTTCTATTGTTGCTCCTTACCCTCTCAATTGATCTGGTAATATGTCACATGTCTTAATTATAATGTGCATTTTATGGATTGCAGTGTTACTGGGCTCTGCTAAGGAGGTTAGAAGTAAAACACTTACTATGTCCTCATTTTGTTAATAGTGACATGAAATGCCAAGAAAACCAAAGGCAGGCTATAAAGAAAGTGAGAAAAAAATGTCTTGAGATTGAACAAGTGGATTTGAGTCAAAACCATCTCAGATGAGATGTGAGAAAGAACATTTTTGGCATAAACACTTGGAGCAAAGATTATATGCTCCAGGACCTCAGAATAATGAATTTGAAATTCAGGTATCAATTGTGTGGTTAGATGTAGGACAAACAAGGTAGAAGATAGGCTGAAATGTTTTGGGGTGACAGTAAAAACCTATGGCTATTTGAATTCCCTAAAACATTTTTTTCAGGGGGAAGGCACATAGCAGAAAATCACATTTAGTCCCTTTGACTCTATACAGTGTACACTTGAACAAGTAAGTCAGGTCCAAAAAGGTACGCTTTAGTGGAATTAAGCTTGAAAGCTCAACGTGTTATAATTGACGTCAGCTGCCATTAAAATTACTAATTGTTTCAAACCTGTAATATACCTAAATGGTATTTTTCATTCATACAACGTGGTGTGGACTGTCATTCTACTAGCCTTCTGTTTTATGAATGTTAACATACCAGGTATTCCTTTCAAGTCCCTGGCTAAGGGACTTAACCCTCTGAGCATATGTGCAATTTAATAGAGAACTTAATGGAGACAAAGCCTTCAAGACCTGAGGAATAAACGACTACGGCTATAATAGACTGGGATCTGCTTCATTAGGACTGATACCAGAAGTTGAAAGCAAAACCTACATGTGTCTGGCTTTAGTGGCTTTAACCAATAGGAATGCTTTATGCCTTCCATCACGCTTCCAGGTTATCTTCAAATACAGTAGGCTCAAACCTACCATTTGGTGCTTTCTAAAATTCTGTTGCCAGAAATCTAGTATCAACTGCACTTCCCAATCAAGTGCTCTCTGAATTGATAATACACTTCATAAATCCTTAACTGTTTACCCATCCTGTGTGGAATCTTGGTTGTGCTCAGGTTTTTAACACCCAATTTCCCAGTTAGAATATTTATTTGAATTCCAGTCTTCTAGGATAGTCTGCTTATCTTTTGCTGGTGCTTCCTCCCTTTAGGTGGGGACTCTCTTATCTTTCCTCCCAAAAGCTTGGTTCTGGATCCAAGTAGCACTCACAGCATAGTATAGTAATTACAATTGCCTGACTGAATATTGCCACTGCCTCTGGCCTTGCTGCACCTCACTGATTCTACTTATTTGGATATGTATGAAGATCAGATCAAAGCACAAGTTTGCCATGAGGTGCTGGAAGGTTTATGGACCATCTTGGGGTGGAGGAGAGGGTATCTTTTCAAAATGACAATCGAACTCCTTGGTCTCATTCTTACAAGACCTGGCCTCTTCCCCTTATTACTAGTCCACTGCTAGAGTCCTGTCATGCCATGTGGCTGAGTTACAACAAAATGAGTTAATGTCATTTAAGTGAGACGCCTGAGTACACTATAATCGAACCTTTTTGGGAACTTAATTATGCCCATTCAGTTGATTCTAATTCTTTTCAAAATAGTAATAATGTAAAAAGCATTTAAGAATATTCAGAAATTAGCATTTGAGGAAAATAACATTTACACATATAATGTGTTACTTAGGTCAGTAAACTTTTGACATATCCTTGCCTCCTAACTATATAAAGCATAATTGTACATTTTTTTAATTTTTTTTTTCAACGTTTATTTATTTTTGGGACAGAGAGAGACAGAGCATGAATGGGGGAGGGGCAGAGAGAGAGGGAGACACAGAATCGGAAACAGGCTCCAGGCTCTGAGCCATCAGCCCAGAGCCTGACGCGGGGCTTGAACTCACGGACCGCGAGATCGTGACCTGGCTGAAGTCGGACGTTTAACCGACTGCACCACCCAGGCACCCCATGTACATTTTTAAATGTACAGTTTGATGAGTTTTTCCTTTGATACACACCCGTGAAAACATAAGTTTTAGAGAAGTACAGAGTTGAGAGATCTGAGCTGGAAAAATAAAATTGGGAATCATCCACATGTGGATGGTGTATTTAAAGCCATAAGATTACATGAGATCACCAAAGGAATGAATATAGATAAAAGGAGTGGTCCAAGAGTTGAGTCCTGGAACATTCTAAGAGTAGGGGATTCTGGGTTTAGTTAAAATCCTGGAGATTATTTTGTGCCTGGGACAAAAATTGAGAAGCAGAAATCTATTGTCAAGTCCAACTGCTATATCAAGAAAAGGAACTAGATGGAAAATCAAGGAGTTTTGGAATAAAAGCAAGGGTGAAAACTAAGCAAATAATTGGGCTATAGGGCTGAAGATAGCCTTGATTTAATGCAGAGCCTTAGCATAGAAATTGAAGGAGTTAATATCTGAGAAAGACTTTGTAAATTATCGGGCAAAGTAGTCTTCAGGAAAGAATAAGATAAGGAATTTAGGAAGTATGATAAGGGTTTTCATCAGACACTGCAGACTTAGAGAAGTGGAGTTAGCTACAGACAAGTTAGAGGTTTGTCTTACAGAGCCAAAGTGCCTGCTGAGGCTAAAAACTACCGATTTTAATAGTTAATCAGCATAATTATTCACTGTTCTATGGGACTTATCTGCCTGGGAGCAGGAAGCAGATCAGTGGATTCATCCAAAATTAGGAATAAAGTGGCCAGGAAGAGCAAAACAATAACACGCCAAGAGAATTGATTTGGTAAAAGTGTTAAAATTATTAACCTTGAGATCCAGTCTGATTAGGGAAAAACACAAAACAAGTGAGGGTCACAAGTGAGACAAAGATCATATGTACCATGAAAACTTACTGTTGAAAATTAGGTAAAATAAGGCCCTCTCCAGTTATACCATAAAATGACCCATAGTGTGTTGTATTCTGATTGTTGGTTTCTCTCTCTCTGGCCCTAGAATGTGAATCCTTTACAAAAATAAACTGTGCCATTTAATCTCAAATTTTGCCTAGAACAATGTAATGACTCCCATAAGAAATTGTCTAAATGGAATTCAATTTGTGTATCTAAGGTGGGCAACAATGATGTGATTTAACCTCTCCAAAAGGGGTAAAAGAAATAAAAGTTGGAAGGTGTTTTGGACAAATACTTGTGTTCCCCCAAATCCATATGTTGAAGCCCTAACCCTAGTGTGGCTATATTTGTAGACAGAGCTCAAAAGAAGTTAACGGAGTTTAAATAAGCTCATAAGGGTAAGGCTCTGATCTGGGAGGAGGAGTGTCCTTATAAAAAAAGACACCAGAGAACTCACTCTCTCCCTCTCCCCTAGCACACCCACAAAGAAGAGGTCACATGAGCACACAGTGTGATGGTGACCACCCACAAGCCAAGACAAGAGGCCTCAGAATGTTGAACTTCCAGCCTCCAGAACTGTGAGAGAAAATTCATTTCTATTGTTTAAGCCACCCAGTCTGTGATATTTTGTTATGGCAGCTCTAACAGACTAAGAAGCAGAGGATAAATGGCCACTGCTATAATTTTGGGAGTTTATATTTAGCTAAAGAATTATGAGTAATAACTATGAAAAAAGCCCATGCAATGTAATCTCTCTGGCTTTATACATTTTCCCTTTAGGTTTCTATTTATTACACTGGAACTAAATCTACAATGTACTTTCTTATTGAATATTAGCAAACACAGCTGCTAGTCACAAAGCTTCCTCTCTCCACTTGTTTCATCATCAAGTTCAATTATTTGAGAAATAGGTAATTTCTCAATAAAAAATACTAGAGAAGAGGGACACCTGGCTGGCTCAGTCAGTAGAGCATGTGACCCTTGATCATGGGGTCATGAGTTCAAGCCCCATGTTGGGCATAGAGCTTACTTAAAAAATAAAAATAAAAATAAATCAGTAAAGAAACCAGAAATTGAAATGAAACTATCTTGGATAGAAAGTGAATGTTGTCTGAGGTCTTATGCTTCACAGGAAAAACTTTTTAATATAAATGAAATTACTTCTTTCATAATCACCTCATATAACAAATTATTTAGGCTTACTAAATATTTCAGTCTAAAATTTCCTTTTTCTATAGAAACATTAAGATTGCAGTAAGTTTTGGGGTACCTGGGTGGCTCAGTTGGCTAAGCATCTGACTCTTGGTTTTGGCTCAGGCAATGATTCATAGTTTGTGGGATCAAGCCCCATGTAGGTCTCTGTGCTGACAGAGCAGAGCCTACTTAGGATTTTCTCTCCCTCTCTCTGCACCTCCCTGCTCACGCTGTCTCTCCCTTCCCCTCCCGCTCTCAAAATAAATGAAATAAACTTAAAAAAAAAGATTACAATAAGTTTTAACTTAACATTTTTTATAACTGATAGGTCACACCTATCATGATATTGTTCCCTATTTAATGAAAGATGCTTAATATAAAATAATTACACTTTCATAGCTCTTTTTATTTTTCACAATACTTTGACATATATTATCTTGGGTTCTCCCCCAGAGAAACCCTGGAAGGTAGATAAGGTAGGCATTATTTAGTATTCATTTATTTTATATGTGATAAACTAAGATTGAGATATTTAAAATATAAGCTGGTTGAGTTCCAGGTCAGTGGAAGGAATGATTTCATCATCTAATGTATTTTGTATTGTTTTTTAGTTTTGGTGCCACATTTAAGAAAACAGTGACAAACTAGGAAGTATCAAAAAAAAGAAGACAAAGGTTCTAGAAACCATGTCATTTTGGGTGATCTTTTAAGATCTTGGAAATATTTAACCTGAAGAAATGAAAGTCAAGGGAAAACATGATAACTATTTTAGGGGTGCCTGGGTGACTCAGTCAGTTAAGAATCTGACTTTGGCTCAGATCATGATCTCATGGCTTGTGGGTTTGAGCCCTGCATCAGGCTCTGTGCAGACAGCTCAGAGCCTGAAGCCTGCTTCAGATTCTGTGTCCATCTCTCTCTGCCTCTCCACTGCTTGAGCTCTGCACCCCCCCCCAAATAATTAAACATCAAAAAAATGAAAAACACAGTGACTAGTTTTAGATATTTGAAAGTGTATCAGATGGGGTAATAGTAATAATAATAATCCGATGTGATAGGTACTATTAATTTTTTTAAGTTTATTTACTTATTTTGAGGGAGAGCACACAAGAACATGAGCAGAGTTGGGGCAGAGAGAGAAGAGAAAGAATCCTAAGCAGGCTCCATGCCATCAGCACAGAGCCCAATATGGGGCTCAGACTCACAAACTGTGAGATTGTGACCTGAGCTGAAATGAAGGGTCGGACGCTTAACCAACTGAGCCATCCAGGCATCAGTAGGTACTATTAGTATGCACATTTTACAGATGAGGAAATTGAAACTTAGAAAGGTAACCTAATGAAGGTCGCATAGGAAGTGAAGGAATTGGAATTTAAAATCTGGCACTGTAAGTCTAGAGATGGTGTTCTTACCCCCACTAAATTCCTTCCCCAAAGGAGTAGTTAAATGTTTCTCTAGAAGGCATAAAGGAGATCAATGAAATAAATAAAAAGAGACCATCCACAAATGAGCCTAAAAATGAGTTCCCAATATGAGAATGTGCAGCCTCCATATCATAGTCTCTTGTCAGTGTGAGTTGGAGGAAGGAGGCTGGCCCTAATCAACTTTGAAGACCCTTCTAAGTCTAAGTTCAGATTTTTGATTTGCCCAAGGTAACCCAGCTACTTAATGTCCAAAATGACAACCAATATCTTCTATCCCTTTTTCAGTCCAGTATTCAGTCCAATAAGTGTAATGTCCCAGTTTTTTCCAGTGGTAATATAAATTTCCTCAAAATTCATTAATCCATGAGAGTGGGTAAAATCACATTATGTTGTACTGGCTCACTGCCCATCTGTTAACACAGGACCTCTAGCCCGTATAAAATTCCTTCAGAGAGGCCCATTAGAGTATCTCACATGTATTCACAAATAAGTCTCCCAATGCTCTTCCTGATATTCTGCCTATTACTATGGCCCCTTTATTGGGTACCCATACATCCAGTGCCTCCCACTAAGCATCAAAGTCTCCTTTCTTGCTGACACTATCATGGTCCAGAGAGGTGTTGTATTCTCATATCCTTCTCCTACTGCTATGCCTCATAAAAGAGAAATCTCTGCAGTTCTTCTTGTTCCTTCTCTCTCACAAAGCCCCTCAAAAAACAGTCCCTTCAGCATTTTTTCATAGATGTTTTTCCATGAGGGGCACCTGGCTGGCTCAGTCTGTAGAGCATGCAACTCTTGGTCACGAGGTCATGAGTTTAAGCCCCACATTGGTAGTAGAGCCTACTTTAAAAAACAAAATAAAAAATAAAAATGTATCCTAGATGTTTTTCCATGGCACTAAGACCTGGTGCCTGTAGTCAGGCTTGGGTTTAGAACTTCCCTATCTTTCTCTGCCACATCTCTAATCTCTTCTTAGCAGACTCTCACCCTGCAATTCATCCTAAGAATCTGGTAGGTTCAGCCTCATGAGTCCAGACAAATCTGAATCTCAGATTAAGCTTAACCCTGCTATATCAATAGTAGCCTGAAATCCATATTGTTTTTTTTTTAAATTTAATGTTAATTTAGTTTTGAGAAAGAAAGAAAGAGAAAGAGTGTGAGAGGCAGAGAGGGGGAGATACAGAATCCGAAGCAGGCTCCAGGCTGTGAGCTGTCAGCACAGAGCCTGATGCGGAGCTCGAACCCACAAACCACATGATCATGACCTGCACTGAAGTCAGATACTTAAACAACTGAGCCACCCAGGCGCCCTTGAAATCCATATTTTTTTAAAGATTTTATTTACTTTTGAAGTAAACTCTATACCCATTGTCGGGCTCAAACTTAAGACCCTGAGATCAAGAGACATGCTCCACCAACTGAGCCATCCAGGCACCCCCAAGTCACTTTAATAAACCATTTTTACAAAAATGTTGCCAATAGTTGATCAATTTAATTACATTAGAACATAGACATTAAGCTCACTAAACTTCTCTGAGGCAATAGTAAGCTATATTCTTTGGTACATCTCAATTCTCATCTTTTAGTTTCATCACTGATGAAGACTTTCAGCTTATATTACATTTCTTTTTCAAAAATGAATGCAATAACATTGCTCAGAGTCTGATCATATACCCAGAAATGTTAGGCTAGTTTTGAAATCAATGGACCTGCCTCTCATGGAGAATCTTATGGATCATTGAAAAGATTTTACTCTAGGGGTGCCTGGGTGGCTCAGTCGGTTAAGTGTCTGACTTTGACTCAGGTCACGATCTCGCAGTTTGTGAGTTCGAGCCCCGCATCAGGCTCTGTGCTGACAGCTCAGAGCCTGGAGCCTGCTTCGGATTCTGTATCTCCTCCTCTCTCTGCCCCTCCCATGCTCATGCTCTGTCTCTCAATAATAAATAAACGTTAAAAATTTCAGAAAAAAAAAAAAAAAAGAAAAGATTTTACTCTGAGTAAATTGGGAACGACTGCAAAAGAAAACAGAGGGGTGCCTGGGTGGCTCAGTCAATTAAGCATCTGACTCTTGATTTCAGCTCAGATTATGATCCAGGGTTGTGGGATCAAGCCCTGTGATGAGCATGGAGCCTGCAGCCTGCTTGAGATTCTCTCTCTCCCTCCACCCCTTCCCCTCCCCCCCACACTCTCTCTCTCTAAAATAAAGAAGAAAAAAAAAAAAAGGAAACAGAAACTCAAAGGGTGATTCATAGCATCAAAACATGTGAACCCTACCCCCTAGGGCCCAGATTGTAGTCTCTATCATTTACCATTAAAAGGAAACAAGGCGCATTGGAGAAATGACTGATTGCAGATCTGAGGCAAGAAATGTACAAGATGAACCTGGTACACCTTTGCTATAGCAGAGAGCATGAAAGCTGTCAAAGACTGCTAAGATTGTATTAAAAGAACTAAGGAGCCAACCTGGAGTATCTCCTACCATCCGAAGATGTAATGTAGACTATTACAAAGGATAATAACTACAATAGATAGAAACACATAAAATATGTTCAAATCTATGAATTCATAATGATACCAAAACAAAACAAAACTGATTTTGATGCTGTTAGAGGATGTTGGTAAACCAATTTATCAATTTCAGAACTGGCAAATCAAGAGACTTTCCAACACCAACTCTAGTAACAGATAATCAAATAGAAGGTAAGAAAGTTTCTCTTTATTGATGTCTTCTAGTTAATAAATGAAAAAGATTGACATAGTTAGAATGTCACCACTTTGCAAACATCTAATGAGTTAATGTATCTAAGCGATGATCGTCAATGGCTGCTAACATCAAGAAAAAGAGAAGCAAACTGAATATAAGTAGTTGATTGGATGTTTTGAGGCATGTCAATGATATACTGATACTTAAAGAGCCACTTTCCACAGGAAATATGCTTTAAATATTTTTTTCCATTAAAAGTGATATATTTACCCTAAGATATTAGCACTCTCCATTCTTTGCAATAATGTCACACATCTGCAAGATGTCTCACCAGTCTCCCCAAAAAGAGTTCCTTGAATGAGTCTAACAAAACTCTAGAAAACTAGTTATTAACATGAATAAAATAGCATGAGATTTATCACTTCAGCTTCAGTTGCATCTTGGGGAGATGAGTTTGTTTCATACACTTTAAACTCTTCTGTCAACTAGTGATAACAGTCCTGACTATAGTATCATTGTCTACCTCAATAAACAGCCATATCTCAGGAAGGGAAATATGCTCAATATC